CAAATTAATGCAAATTTCTGATAAGTTATTATAATAAGATCTTACTTTTGTGATACATATTATAGATCACTTCTCGAATGGCACTTGTATCCAATGTCGCTGTGTTGGTTACACGTTTAATATAACTCCGCTTTTTCTTGGGCGATTCTAAATTTGCATCACTTTTCACACCCTCGGAAATACGACTAACTGTCCTTAAACTAATTTTTAAAGCAGCAGCAACACGCTACAAAAAATGAAATAAAATTTCACTATTATTAATATACATTACATATAATTATTAGTAACCTACCTCTTGAACAGCATTTAAAGGCAACAAAGGCCCGTTGTTGTCCCTTTCTTGCTCAAAGTAGTGCATTAACGAGGCCACGAGTTCCTTACACCGACTATTTAACTGTTTGGGCATCTTTATATACCAAAATTGCCTTTATCTACTCGTAAAATGAATAATTTTGTTTTGAAACAAACAGTTGTTGATTTACAGTATGCGGGGCCAAAGGATTTATAAAGATTTGAAATGCCACAAATTGATTCAGTGTCAAAATTAATACAAATGTCAGTTCCCAGTTTAAATAAGTTTCAAGGTGACAATGTGTCAACGCTGCGAAATCGGTTTAGTGCGTTTACATGTCGATAAGTGATTGGAGCGTTTGCAAAACATTTTATTTCGCATAATGCGTCTAAATTTATCAGAAAGCAACTTATGTGATATTTTAATAACAATGTTTATATGACTATTAACCATAATAAGAGAGTAATGACCATTTTACAATTTATATATCACATTAATATGAAACTGCAATAGAGCAATTGTTTGTGATAGAAACCTAGGCATTAGGTCGGGGAATTTTTATCGTGATGACGTGCACGCCACTTTGTTTGGCGTTGACTATAGCAGATTTGCTTACTGGTTTCGTATGGGTTGATGACGTCACCGCCAAAACCGTGAGTAGAACTATACATCTTTTCGCAGTTTTTGACGATTGCATCACAATGCCAAAGCGAATAAGTAAACAGGTTGTTTAATGTTACCCTGCGCGTAGATTTACTTTCCTAAAGTTCATCCATAACGCATCTGTTGCTCGCTCTTGTACACACCCATATGAATTGGGCGATACAGGACCGTTGTGTCGAATTTATTCCTGGATACTTCTAGTACAGATTGTCGAAATTATAGTTGCGTCTCCAGGCACTGCTGTTCTCTATGTCAAAGATCAAAGAAGTTAGCATATATGGTACGCTCATGACAACGCGTTGTCATACTGACAATGAGAGACATAAATGTGGAAGACTCATACGTTAATGAAAATATGTTACAAGACGGTGAGTCAAGGCCAACAAACGTATGTCTTTGAACTTGCATAAAAAAACTTCCGCGTTCAAAGGACAACTTCATATAATGTTTTTGTGAGGGAGATGGATGGATGAAAGTGATTCCTGCAGTCTTACTGGGAATCACCAAAACCGTGGAAAGGCCTATAAGAAACAATTATTAACACTAACAGTTCATATGTACTTGTCCAGATAATAAGCTTCGCATTTTATACGAATCTATTATGCTCAACTTATTTACACTATTATTTAGCATCATCACTTCTTCTGCTTCCGGTATATTTGACTCGATTCTCGTAAAGCCAACAAGATGCTTCCAAATCACCTACAAATAGCAAAAAACCTCATCGATAAATCGCCCAGTGACATCAGTTAACTAGAGTGGGACAACATGCGGTTACGCGCCAGCGACGTTATTTGCATAGCCTAGACTTAACCGCTAGTGATGTAGACAGACATTTTAGTGCGTAGTTACATCTACCTATCTGTGATCTCAATATAGTTGTGCTTCATTGTTGGTGAATATCTGTGGTTCCAGCATAGCGGTCCTCATTTAGGAAATATCTTCAGCAGTAAATGGTTGTATATATAGTTATTTTTCTGTATAGGTATAGATGAAAATGCTGTACTTGGTCGGCACCTACCATTTGGCCTTCATTATGGTGTTGGTAGCGAGCGGCCAGGGCTTCTCCAGTGGTAAGTAGCTTTTTGATTTTTCATGTTGGAGATGGTGGATTCGAGAAGTCAGCATATTGAGGAAATAAGTAATGGTTCATTAGTTGAAGCCTGATCATATGTTTCTTCTTGTCAAGTCTGCAAATAGAAGGTTTGAGATACATCTTGCTGATAGGTAGAGAAGGATTTGAGGATCTTATAAATCGCTATGAGGCTAAAAGAAGAAGTCGTTCAATTATTCTTAGATATATTTGAGGTTTTAAATAAATTTTGTTTCTAGACTAATTAATTGTAATGCATAATGCGATACTATATGCGTGTAGCCGAGTTACATCTTGAATTCTTTTCAAACTTTTTTGGGCTACTTTTGGAATACCGATACCCACATTTATAATCGACCCTGAATGGATGACTGCCAATTGACGATTATTCAATCGTTGAGCTCTTAATGAACAATACCACAACCACGTTTTAAAATGTTTAACATTTTTTTTTTTTAGAACTTATCAGGTTTGCAAAATTTCAAAGATCTCCGAAACTTTCGATTTAGAATCTTCAAAATTCTTCTAATTTTCGATGTTTCCAAGATTTTTATATTATTTTAAGGCCTTCAAACAACCAGGAAACTTCTAAACTGAAGCTGAAAATTTTTGAATAGGTCGAATGTTTTGAGAGTATTGAAAAGCTTTAACATTTTGGAAACTGAAAATTATGAATATCTCGAGATCATCAAAAGTTTTGACACCTTTGGAAATAGGTGAAAAGTTTGTATAATTGTGAGAGATGAAGCTTCCATAATTTTTAAAATTCCGAAAGTTCTGAAGTCTGTAAGTTTTAGAAACAGAAATTTTGTCAGTTTTAAAAGTTTCAAAGATGACAAACTTTTTTGAAGACTTAAAATCTCCTAATTGATGCATTACTGCTTATCTAAATTCAATAAGCATGATTTCAAATAAGAGCGTGAAAGTTAATGCTAGTGTACAAGCAAAAGCACTGATAAGTTTGACTCACAGCTCCTTGAAAATTCTGGAAGGATCCATAAGTTGATCTTTCATATCTATATATTTAATTCCTTAGGAAGCTGTGTTTTAGTGGGTTAGCGGATCAGAGCCAGTGGGTCAAGCTTCAATGTGTTGACAAGATGTTGACACAGATCACGAATTTGATTAAGGGACACAGAGGGATAATACACACAAATTGATTCGCATAGGAAGATGATCCACATATGTTTATATCCTCAGTAATGCTGTCTCTCCTACCACCCAACATCTGTCGAACTTCAAAGCTACGTTTAGTATACCCAGGATGCATTGGCCACCACAAAATGTGGATAAATTCAATTCCTTTGAGTGAGTACCGCTTACAATTATGTATAATCTCCATCGAAGGTATATATTCTTACGATATACAGGGTGTTTCAATTTATTGTTGCATAACTTTAAGATTCGATAGAACTTTAAAATTAATGCATGAAGTCTATATAAACATGGGTCGAAAAATGCGTGGCTTCCGAAATACAGGGTGTTTAAAATTTATTTTCTAAAATACTTTTTTAAAATATTTCGAACAATATTTGATGTATAACAGTGAAAATTGGTATACAAGGATTTTTTGGTGCGACAAATAGTTTTACTGTAGCCGCTAGAGGGGCGCTCTCTACTGTGCCTGTAGTGTATTAAAATGACCGAAAAATTTTCTTAGTGCAATTTTTTGCTTTTGAATAAAAAAACTGAGTCTTCACACTTTTCAACATTATAAAACTCTCTTGTGAATTTTCGTTATAGTTAGCCGTTTTTGAGATATTTTTAAGGTTCGATGAATTTTAATTATTTATGATAAAATAACGTTAAAAGTCAGTATCTCGATAATTTTTAGAAGAAGGCTGTGCCTGCAAATATTTTTGAAATTGAAAAGCAGAATTAGGTTAAACGTCATTTAGTTGACAGTTAGTTTTGTTGTCTGTTGAAACCTGAAACGTTTTTTTTGCAAATGTGAATGCACGAAATTTAGTTTCTTTTACCTGTTTTTTTGTAAGTTTTATAAAAATGCCATTTTTATTCTCCAATCAAGAGTTAGCGGATATTCATTGTGTGTATGGCTTTCTAAATGGAAACGCAGCAGAAGCAGCCAGAGAATACGCACGAAGTGTGTGAGTTTGATAGAGATCCGACCACAGGTGTTAGGAGAGTTTCTGGTCCCTTGAGAATTTCAGCAAGCCATGTTCACCGTGTTCTTAGAAATGACCATAGACGTCCTTACCATTTGCAACCTGTGCAAGGACTACAGCCAGGGGACGGAGAACGAAAGAATCACATTTTGTCAGTAGATTCTTGATAGAACTGATAATAATAGGGAGATTTTAAGTAACGCTTTATGGACCGATGAGTCATGCTTCACTAGACGTGGAGTGGTAAATTTTCATAATCAACATATTTGGTCGCATGATGTCCAGCTTGATGGTTGTCCAGCTCATTATTCGAGAATAGTCAGAAACTGGCTGGACGAAATTGTCCAGAAAGATGGATCGGCCGTGGAGGACCAGTCGCCTGGCCTCCACGATCCCCTGACCTGAATCCATTAGATTTCTTTGTGTGGGGATTTCTAAAAGAAAAAGTGTACCAGACTCCCGTAACCACAAGAGATATGCTAATAGACAGAATCAGGAAAGCATGTGATGAAATAAGGCCTTATTTGAATAATGCTATACCACGTTCGATCATTCGTAGATGTGAATTGTGTATTGAACAATTGGGTTTACATTTCGAGCATCTACTTTAGATTTTGTATGTTTTTCCTAACTATCCAATAGCAATTTTAGTTGTAAAAAATTAATTTAATTTGTTAAAAATAATATTGGAAAATTAAACAATTAATATTCTGTTTTTTTGTGTTTATTTGGAGTTAGGAATTATTGCTGTGTTTAAAAACGCAATCTAAACGATCATCTTAATTACGTGAAATGCCCAAATCGAAGATGTAAAAAAATATTATTTTCCATAATAAATTAAAAATGCAGCGAACCTTAAAAATCGAAATATCTCAAAAACTGCTAACTATAACGAAAATTTACAAGAGAGCTTTTTTATGTTGAAAAGTGCGAAGAATCAGTTTTTTTATTCAAAAAGCAAAAAATTGCACTAAGAAAAATTTTCGGGTCATTTAATACACTACAGGTACAGTAGAGAGCGCCCTCTAGCGGCTACAGTAAAACTATGCCCATGGTTTGTTTTATCGTACCAAAAAACCCTTGCATACCAATTTCCATTATTATACATCAAATATTGTTCTAAATATTTGAAAAAAACTATTTTAAAAGTAAATTTAAGCACCATGTATTTCGGAAGCCACGCATTTTTCGACCATGTTTATATAGACTTTATGCATTAATTTTAAAAGTTCTATCGAATCTTAAAGTTATGCAACAATAAACTGAAACACCCTGAATTTTCTATCGTCCAACTATTCCGGTATTAGTACACTACTTAGTATGGTTATATTCTAAGGCCGACTCTGCTAATCCTCTATAGTTTTTTCTAGAAATTCTTCAACGTCACATAAACGCAGTGCGTAACAGAGACATTATCAATTATTGATGACAAGTATCGGTTTTACAGATGATGAGTGCAAACCGCCGGAAGTGAATTCGGCCTGAGAAAGAGAAAAATCAATCTATACAACTCTCAATGACAAAACAACTCTCTCTAAGCCTTTAAATGCCTCTTTCATAACTTTGTTTTCCTCGCCAACTACACAATTCTTAAAGCGATAAACTCTCACAATGGTTCGATGCCGCGACCGTCGATTCTACAATCGACAACAGATCAAGAAGGCGGTGCACAGAGCTCCGCGATCTGCGATAAGTTTATTTGAGTCGTGAATTACGGGTGGCGGCGACTTTACGGCTACGCTGGTTACGCGGGTCGCCGTTTGCGCTAACCGGTAAGTCTAGTTGGCTATGACTCGGGCCAAATGCCGGGAAGAATTATAATGAGCTGGAGGATTGAATGGTTGCGACGCGACGTGAGGAATTGGCGAGATTCAATGGATGTTGTGGAACGTGAAAAGCTTTGTGATTGGAAATTACATTGATGGCAGAGGATTACCAAACAAACACTCCACATAATAGATTACGACATATTTCAGAAAATGCGTCGGATCATTATATTTCTTGTTTTCGTAGTTATATATATATATATGATATGCTCATTAAGGTAAGTAGCATTTGGAATCATCCTATTAGATGATCATTAAATCTTCTACGTGTCTAATTTTTAGAGACCCTGCACCAGCTACCAATTTGAGTACAGATTAGATCATTGTCAACCCCGATCAGTTTTTTCACTAAATGACTCGGATGAGCTGTACGAGTACAAACTATGGTAGGATGTAGTTAATTTGTATCTATTCAGAGAGCCCTGGCCTAGTAAATAGCCGTCTCTGTCGAGTCAGGCAAAAAGCTCAATACAAATATTTTATCTTCCTTCTCTCCATCAATGGTTTGCATACTCAGCAGAAACTGATATTTATCTGCTTCATTAATAAAATAATCGAGCGTTAATTGGAACAATGATATAGCATTCATACAACAAAAAACGAATAACAATGATTCCACAAATGTTCTCATCCTAGTGTGCTAGTCAAGTATCATCATAGTTCTGATTCTAGGTGCAGATCCGACGAACTATGAAGCCAAGATATACATGCGATAATCGAGGTCTAGAAACTAAGCAAATGATACATACTTACCAATATCCTATGAGTTAGGATGATTTAGATCAAACAATGCCCAATATCCTGCGATCAATGCTCCAATTCATTCTCTTGGACTTTGAAATTGCCCAAGCAATGTGAAGGTGAGTTTGAAGTGTAGCTTACTAATTCTATGTATATGGAGAGCACACGGGAAAAAAGATCTAAGTCACTTTTGGCAACTTTTGAGATAAATCAGTTTTCAAATTTGAAAGTGTCCCGTTATTACATACTGAAACAAATAAAATATCTATGTGTCTCAACTAGGAGATTTATTACCGTTTTAACATAACTAAAGCGGGTATTAGAACAACTGTATATTTTTTGAAAAAAGAAGTAAAAAACACAGAATAAAATGAAAAAGAATCTAATTCCAAACAAATATGTTTGAAGTTCTTTTCAAGTAACAAAGTGAAGTGTGGTTTATTTATAGTGCCTGCAAAGAAGAAAATGCTTAGTTTGCTCAAATCAAAATGGATAGTAAACTTACGTTTCATCATCACTACTATTAGTATCTATAGCCGGGCAACTCCATGTAGTATTTTTGATCTTCTTCTTCACCGAAATTCCTTAGGTAATGTAGCTGAGGTATTTTTTCTTTGGTATCGGGATAGCTTGCTTATATAACAATTTTGGGGATCCGTCCCAAGTCAAATTTGGGCCCGCATAATGAAGCTAAGTCTCGGTCCGTTATAATTTTCTCTTGTTTCTATTGTTCTTGGATGTTCATGGCTTATGCGCATTTCTCTTAACGGTCTTGTGGAAAAAGGGCACTTCCTCTTGTAGGATGGTGCTAAAAAAATCTGTCCAGACGAAAAACGTCTTGCTTTCATTTTACGACATCAAATGGTCGTGGTTTGCATCTGGCGTTTTTAAAACTTCTACCCATTGTTCTGGGACATCAACTTCAGTTTTTGATTGATTAGACCAAAGTCCTTATCACATTCAAGGTATGAATGACCTCTTATAGGAAATGTGTCCATCACACAGTCAAAGCGTTTTTTTTGATGGACCAAGGAATGCAAAATCTTATGAGGGTATAATTTTTGTTTTGGGCCAGCACAGAATCACAAAATATCTCTAAATGTCGTACTCCTGAGTCAAGAATATTAAAACAAAAATGGTTCAAAAACGATACATCATCTGACCCTGACAAATAGATTGCACTGATGAAAGGATATGGACATTAAAGCTTACGAACGTAAATTGCCGTTTATAATAAACGTCAGTAGTTGTAATGTTCGGCATTGATAGATTCTTTGAATAATCCATTGTTATAGCTTAGTTGTTTTCGGCAATTTTCCTTAGCATTACGTTTCCTTATGTGAAAGTTTTCCGCTTTAAGTTTGTGTAATTTGTGTTCAGCTTCAATAGCTCTCAGCAGTTTTTCTATATCTGACTTTTTGGATTTTAACTTCCTCACAGTAACTGCAAGTATCTGATCTAGACCCAAATCCAATGTTGAATTTTGTCGTGAAAATTATTCTGTAAGATTCATAACTTATTTTTGATCTGGGTATTTTGCACAAAAGAAGGGATACATTTTTTCATATTTAAAGTCTCTGGAAGATACAGTTTTCTTGACTTTTTCAAACTATAATGAGATACACGCCCTTTAAATGATCTCATATGTTGCTCAACAAGTTGCACCATTTCTGGACTCATCTTATGTGGCCGATTGTGATGCCTACATACGATTTGAAAGTTACACAAATTTAATATTCCAGCTTCTGTAGTATACACTCTTCACCTCTCATATCGCCAACTGAGCTGCCCTGCCTTGAAGACGACTTTTTATTGTTATTAGTCTCCTGTTTGTTATTCCATGTAGACTGATAAATGCCTGCTGACACACTAACATTTCATGGAATCCATTATTCAACTCATTTCGAACCCTTATTTTGTAACTAAATGTATTGGATCTCAAATTTGCATAATCTTCACTCTTCCGTGGCCGACGTCTTCTAATTGGCAGCATAGAAACTAACCCAGCTAAATGTCTGTTGTCTAGTAAATTGAACGCTCTTATAATATTATTTTTCGCCATCGCTCAATTTTGAAAACAGCGATTTTTACAGTACAAGGATTCCCAGTCTCAATGTATGATTTTGGACATGTTTCTCAACATCTCTTACACGACCACAAGACTCTCTCTTTCGTGTTTTATTTAAGACGTCTGTCAAAGGGATAGAGTCGCTCTCACTACTGGACATCATAATACGATTATTTCTGACCTTGATAACTCCAGACAGAAAATGCGCTGCACGCTTGGACACGTTCAGAATCAGACTGAACGGCTCCCTTGTTCCTTCTTTGCTCGGCTATCGGTCTTGGATTGGCTATCCGTAAATTGGGAAGACTTAGATCGCTCTTCATTGTACGCTCATTTTTAAACGCAAATATAAGGGATTTCGATCGGTCTTTCAATGGTTCACTATAGAAGACATACAAATTCGTATACTAAACTACCGTTAGGCGTAGTTATCCCGATTGTCAATATTGTGGACTTGGATCGTTTTTTCCGTGTGCTCTTCATATGTATAAATCATTCAATAAAGACTTTTACATGTTTATTGTTAGTTTAAGAACTGTATCGTAGCTTATAGAGCAATTCCGATGATAAGTTTCTAGCGAAAATCATGTAGTGTATGTTTAAGAGAAATTACAGGCTTTTTTGTCCCATCGGATTGGCTTAGTAATATCTTCGTTTATTCAACATATTGACCATATTCATAAAATCGATATTTGATTTCCACAGTTATAGCTTACTAACGGAAAAAGAATTATCCATAGGCAGTAATGATTTTAAGCAGAAAGTCGATTCTGAATAAATAACTTGAGTTCACAAAATTAGTTAAGGTGGTGATATCAAGCACCACGTAAAACAAATTATAAATATCTGTGGCTAATGGACTTTTGTCCAAAGCCAGACCCCCTACATACATACAAGCAGTAATAATGTCTAGTTTCTTTGACAGCTATTGCCAATCCTCCTTTCTCTAATTTCAAGCTTTGGCAAGATACATAATACTCATTTTGAATATTGGTAAATACTTGTTGTGTCCCTGTTGTACATTAAGACATGGAGAAAATTTCGCAGGAGAGTGCTTACGATTTTCAACAAATGCTTCACGATATACATCCTTTCCCATGGTGTGGTCATTGGATACTAACGTAAAATCGAAAAAAAAATCGGTATCGTTATATATCATTTAAATTTATTTTAGTACGTGTATATTCCTCCTGGAACATTCAATTAATTCGTCAATATGTGGATATAACCTTGTGTTAATAATCGCCATCAGGTCGAGGGCTGCTTAGGTCCCCGGTACTTTCACTCTTGAATGGAGCATTGGTAGATCAAGTGCATTGAAGTCGTTTTGGATTGATACCAAGTGCCTGTTGTTTCAAAGTTGTACATCAAGACATCGGAAACACAACTTGACGGATTTGATGTAAATCAAAACTTGTCACTCAATAGGAATACACTTCACTGAAAAAAGAAGTGAATCGGTATCGCAGTATATTACCATTTGAATTTGTTTTAGACATAAATATTGGTGCTGGAGTATTGACTGATTTTTAATACATAGGTCGATACAACTTTGAGATTATGTATGGATAGTCGCCATTAGATTGAAAAACTGCTCAAGTGCGAGGCAAGCGCCCCATTTTGATTAATACCAAGTACCTGTTGAGTTCCAGGTGTATATCAAGACATCGATACCATATCGTAAGAGAGTGCTAACGCTTTTCAACAAATGCCTCGCGATATAAATCATTTTACCGATGATGTAAAGCGAAGTTCTCCGCTGAATAGGAATGTAATTTCGGAATGCCGCCGCCGTTATAACGGGAAATCTTGTTAAATAAGTTAGAATCTCCTCTGACACGCCTTCATTCTCCCTTTCTTCTTCCTCTTAATCTGATTGCCGACGCTCTAATTGCTCCACCAGGTCTTGATAATCTATGCCCGCACCAACTACCATGAAAAATACAATTTAGGTTCCGTATATTTCGATTCAAACTGATACCAGTCGATGTTGAGCTAGGGATGTGCAATTCTCTACTATATTTTTACAAAGTTGTCTTGAATCAACTTCATAATATTGTGCCCTTCCAGTTTTAGGTATTACAGAGTTTCACTCAAGGACTGTCTGGCTGATTGACAACACTTAACGTTGCTTACCGGCCGATGTGCCAATGAACCTTGCCCTTCCAAATCTGTCAAACACAGTCCAGTTGGAATTGATTGGTCCGATTAATGATAATAATAATTAAGGTTTTTTTATTATTTTATTACCCCCTAAGAAGTATTACATTTTTGTTCTTATGACTTCGATACAGCTTGATCAACCTTAGGTAGTTCAAAAAGCTTATGGTTCTGGAATAAAAAGGCACGAATATATTCTACAAGCAATCAATCTTTGGCCAAATGTATGGAATTGTAATGGTGAAAAACAAAACTTTTCATTTTTATGTTTCTACTAATAGCATCTTCATCAACATCTTTCGATGCGAGTAACCATTTTCGTTCCCGATGGAAAAGTCTTTAGCATCGCTAGCTTACCCGCTGTATTCTTATCCCTCCAGGGGATATTTTCAACAGT